TACATATACACATACACAACACTGTTTTGTGAATGTAGTCTTAGGCTGTGAACTCCCACAGCACAGTTACTTTTCTTTATATTCCCAGGGTGTCTGGCAATGAGTGTTATAGGTACTCAAATATTTGTTGGACTAAAATGAACTGAACTGACAGGAATCTCACAAAGCTTATCAATGATTTCTGGTAGTCTTTATGTTTCCCTCTCCCAGTCTCAGTGCTCTTCTCACTGTTTATTAAATTTATACTGTAAAAGAATGAGATCCATGATATGGTTAAGAAGATAGAAAAAAGGGGGACACCTGGGTGGCTCAGTTGGTTAAGCACCAGACTCTTGATTTCAGCTGAGGTCATGATCTTGGCAGCCCCGCATCGGGCTCTGCGCTGGGTGTGGAGCCTGCTTAAGATTGTCTCTCTGCCCCTCCCCACACTCTGCCCCTCTCCCTCTCTAAAAAAAAAAAAAACTAAAAAAAGAAAAATCAAAAAATATGATTGTCAATATATATGACCTATGGTGTGCCAGGAAATGTTTAACAAGTGGCTCTGGGTGGGGTGGGGTGTCTGATTTTCAATATTTGCCAATTTCCATGACTTAAATACTCCCACCATGGCCTATTTCATGGTAACAACGTGATATCAACTAGTTCCCAAATTCCTGAAAATTTAACAATTGGCCCTCACAAACAAGCATAAGCCAGCTCCAACTAATCACTAGATGCAATATTCAGATGCATAGCACACATGATCTCAAACTCTGCTCTGCATTACTACCTTCCACATCCGCAAAGTAAAGTACAAAAGACAAAGAAAAGGGAAAATCCACACCCTATTCCCATAAGTCCTTTACCTCAATCTATAAAGTAGTCTTCTTTTAAACTGGGCATCCGATCCAGCCCAGAAATTCCTTTTGCCTAGGCTAGTGACATCTGAAATTTTCTGATCATGCACTCCAATCAGTAAAAAATGTTTAAAAATATATCCCCAATATATGTTAATATATTTGTTTATAAGTTACATTGTAGCTACTATATAGACTATATATACTAACATAGTACAAATTATAAAACATACACAAAAAAACATAAATTTTAAAAGATAAAAATTAATACAAATGGAAAAGAAAAACTTCCCTCCTACATCCCAATGGACTATCTTACACACACCCCTGCAGTTTACAGTCTAGTTTAGAGATTACTAAGGTCAATATCCAAAGTAAAATGAATAGCTTCCTGGTCCTGTTTCCCTTTCCTGGACCTGGATCTTCCTATTCCAGTGCTGAAAAAGGGCAAGTACCAACCATGGAAAATAAAGGAGGTAAACGTTAGCAAGGTCTTGAACAAAAATGGCCTACAGAAAAGCAAATCACAGACCTCTTTTATAATACAAACTCCACAGAATGAAGACTCCCTGGGAATGAATCACTGGAGAGGCTCCAAAGACACCATCCTAACTGGAGTTTTTAACCCCATAAAGAGACATATCCTGGCCATCCATATCAACTCAAGCAAATAGAAGGGCTGGGAGGAAACATGAGCTTCCCCTAAGGACCAAACATGTCCTCCAAATAAGTATAATATTAATAAAATCTTAAGTTGGGAAATGCAGAGTACAAAACTATGCCAGATACATATAAATCATATAGAACAGATATAGCTCTTCTTTTCTGTATGCAAGCTGTCCTCTGGCAAAGCACAGTTTAAGCCAAACATACTAGTCCTGAATCAAAAACACTAACTTTGCTTAAAAAAAAAAAAAAAAAAATCAAGAAATAAAAAACAAAAAACTCCTTATCAGGATCACAGAATACTAAAGACTTTCCTAAGGAAGATTTTACAAACATGTTTAAAAACACTTTAACGATACTAAAGGCTTCTGAAGAAATGAGCCAGGTAAAGTGTTACTGCTTTTCCTTTCTTGTTGCCAATTTCCCTGTCATACATATAAAGCACTAAAGATGAATCTGCTTTCAACCCTGCTCCCTGAAAGAAGAAAAAGAAAACAAACAAACAAACAAACACAGAAACACAAAAAAAATTTTCTGAGCTACCATTTAATCAAGATTAGCAATATTTGGGGCACCTGGGTGGCTCAGTCAGTTAAGCCTCTGCCTTCGGCTCAGGTCATGATCCCAGGGTCCCGGGATCAAGCCCCAGATCAGGCTCTCTGCTCAGCAAAAAGCTTGCTTCTCCCTCTCCCTCTGTCTTCTGCTCCACCTGCTTGTGCTCTATCAAATAAATTCAAAACACCTTAAAAAAAAAAAAAGACTAGCAATATTTAACATGAAGGAATCAACCCCTTTTTAACCATTCTTTTCCTCTTTTGATCCCTTATTATACCGTTGCTTCATACTGACTTAAGACTCAAAGCTTTGGCTGAAATGATACCAACTTAAAAGATCCCACACCTAAAAATTATCTACCTTCCCATCCACTGAATCTTCCCTGTTTCCTCCCTTCTTTAAGGAAGATGGAGTCTCTTCTCCAGGGTAACCAAGTGCCCTAATAAAAATTATTTTTAAAAATGTATTACTGGCTCTTGCTTCAATAAGGCTGCCTAAACACACGATTATCTCTCTTCTCTCCAAATTCCCATTGAAACAAGAGAAGAAATGGTTTAAAACTAAATAAAAAAACATAACCACACTAGAAAACAAAAAGGATGCCATCAGCAGACAAGAGTTTTCACAAACTCTAGATCCATGATTCTCAAACATTAGCATGCATCAAAATCATCTCTAGGGCTGGTTGGAACACAGATTCCAGCTAATATAACACTGTATGTTGAATACACTTCAGTAAAAAATTAAATCAGGGAAATCCAAATCAAAACCTCAATGAGATATCACCTCACACAAGTCAGAATGGCTAAAATTAACAAGTCAGGAAACGACAGATGCTGGCGAGGATGCGGAAAAAGGGGAACCCTCCTACACTGTTGGTGGGAATGCAAGCTGGTGCAGCCACTCTGGAAAACAGTATGGGGGTTCTTCAAAAAGTTGAAAATAGAGCTACCATATGATCCAGCAATTGCACTACTGGGTATTTACCCCAAAGATACAAATGTAGGGATCCAAAGGGGTACATGCACCCCGATGTTTATAGCAGCAATGTCCATAATAGCCAAACTATGGAAAGAGCCAAGATGTCCATCGACAGATGAATGGATAAAGAAGATGTGGTATATATATACAATGGAATATTATGCAGCCATCATGAAATCTTGCCATTTGCAATGACGTGGATGGAACTGGAGGGTGTTATGCTGAGCGAAATAAGTCAATCAGAGAAAGACATGTATCATATGACGTCACTGATATGAGGAATTCTTAATCTCAGGAAACAAACTGAGGGTTGCTGGAGTGGCGGGGGGTGGGAGGGATGGGGCGGCTGGGTGATAGACATTGGGGAGCATATGTGCTATGGTGAGCGCTGTGAATTGTGCAAGACTGTTGAATCACAGATCTGTACCTCTGAAACAAATAATACATTATATGTTAAAAAAAAAAAAAGGATGATAGCAGGAGGGGAAGAATGAAGGGGTGGGAAATCGGAGGGGGAGATGAACCATGAGACGATGGACTCTGAAAAACAAACTGAGGGTTCTAGAGGGGAGGGGGGTGGGAGGATGGGTTAGCCTGGTGATGGGTATTAAAGAGGGCACGTTCTGCATGGAGCACTGGGTGTTATACGCAAATAATGAATCATGGAACACTACATCAAAAACTAACGATGTAATGTATGCTGATTAACATAATAATTTAAAAAATAAAAAATAAATTAAATCAAATTAAAAATAGGTTGTATAAAAAACACACACACAGACTGCAGGATTCCACCTTCATGGATTCTGATTCATTAGGTTTAGGATGGGCTCAAGATTTTGTATGTCTAACAAGTTCCCAGGTGATGATGATTCTGCTGGTCTAAGGACCACATTATAAGAACCACCATGCTAAGTAAACAGAGATCATTAAAAGGAACAATTTTTTAATAAATTTTAATTAGCATCCTCAGAGAGATTCAAACAAATGATACAGCCATTGTTTTTCCAGTATTTGTAAAATAACAAAGAGTTCTAGAAACCTGGAAAACATAGAATTCCTGAATTTAAAAATAAAAATCAAAGGGCTAAATAACAACTAAAACCCAACAAAGCAGTGTGGAAAATAGCCTAAGACATCTTCCAAAACATACAGCAAAAGACAAAGAGATGGAGATTATGAGAGACAAATTAACAAGCATAAAGGGTTAATAGCTATCTAATAGGTTTCTGGAGACAGAACAAACATACCACTTAAGTAATCAAGGAAGAAATTTCAAACCTTGATACTGCCTGGCTAATTTCCAACCAGGTAAAAAATTTTGAAGTCAACAATTGGACGCGTATTTGTGACATTTCTAAACTTAAAAGACATAAAGAAAACTCTAAAAGCTTGGAGGGGAAAAACACAGGTTATTACAAAGCAATATGAATCAGACTAGCATCAGACATTTCATTAGCATGAGAGAAGAAAAAGGAATGTCCTTTACAAGGTTCAGAGATGCAATTATTTTGAACCTGGAATTCTACATCTAGTCAAATCAAATACAAAGGCAAAATAAAGACATCTTTGGAAATTTAAGAACTAAGAAAACTGAATTCCCATCCATATTTATTTCTTATTTCTACTGGGAGAAGTTATCACAGAAGTCCAAAATGGGTTTCAATGAGCTAAAATTAAGGTGTTGGCAGAATTACATATCTTTTGGAAGCTCTAAGGAAGAATCCATTTCCTTGCCTTCTCTACCTTCTAAACACTGCCTGAATTCTTTGACCCCTTCCATTTTCATCATTATCATTAGATGTACTCAGTACTTATAGCAGATTTCTTAGTTCCTTAAAGAAATGCAAGGGACTACAGCTACACTATATAGCCCCTGACAGAGTAAATGAAAAATATGCTCTTTATCATTTCCTTAAAAAACATTTTAATCAATTAATATTTTTATTAATAAACACCTACCGAATCATTCGCTGCTAGTGCAAGTGCAAGGTTCACTGTAAGAAACAAAAAAAGTAATTAAATTTAGTAACTTTCTTCTACTAAAATTCAGTTTGCCTTCTAATATTTTCAATGTAATAACCAAAGCACAGATATTTTTAATGTATCTCCTTTACTTATAAAAAACAAAGACATGGACAGAATACAGCAAGTAAGAAAGACAAAAAAGAGTAACATTCCAACATAAGCAACAGATGCCTGCCCTACAATTAACATTTTAAACGATTCATTTTTATAACCTGTTATAATTTTGTTTATTTAGTTTTTAAAAAACAATGTTACTGGTATATATAGTTCAATTATTTTCAAAAACATTTTGCCTAAAAAATATATACCTTTTAATAAATAAAAATGTATATGATCCTATTGCCTTTTAAAAATAAATGCCGATAATGCAGGAATTCCAAATACCTAACTCACAAATACCCACGTATGAAAGGCTGGACCACTCTGCAGAGGAAAGGGAAGAGGGTCAAAGGTAAGGCAATAAAACATGTTCCCAAAACTGCCTATTGCTAGAGAATCCTTCTTTATAGAAGGAAAGTAGTCCCAAAACCACCTTGAGCCCAGCAATAGAGATAATGCTACATCTGAGATGAAGAGAGGTCCGAAGGTAACAAATTTCCAAGACTGGTAAGTAGACTTTCATACTGTGAATCACATTTATTTAAGAGAACAATGTTATAAATGATGCTGAGATTATTTCCTTTAAAGTAGTTAAGAGCAGGGGCACCTGGGTGGCTCAGTCGTTAAGCATCTGCCTTCGTCTCAGGTCATGATCCCAGAGTCCTGGGATCGAGCACCGCATCAGGCTCCCTGTTCAGCGGAAGCCTGCCTCTCCCCATCCCACTGCCCTGGCTTGTGTTCTCTATCTCGCTGTCTCTCTCTGTCAAATAAATAAACAAAATCTTAAAAAAAAAGTAAATAACTAAATAAAGTAGTTTAAGAGCATAAATTTTCAAAGTAGACCTGGTTCAAATCCTAGTTCTACCACCTTCTATTATATAACCTTGAGTAAGATATTTTACCCCTAAATCTATTTTCCTCCTCTATAAAATGAGGATAATTCCTATTTCATAACTGTTGTGAGAATTAAATGAAATACTGATATAAAGTACTTAGCCTAGGACATGTCACTTGACAAATTAATTTCTATAAATTATCAAATAATTCTGAATTTCAGGTATATCATAGATTAAACCATCTAACTATTAAGCAGAAATTTTTAGAGACTACTTCATTTCAGTGTTAGGGTCTTCTCACATTTATACAATGGAATCACAGAGCATGTTTGTATTAACCATGTATCATCATTCTAACTGAAAAAAATCTCTAGCATACATATTCAAATGGGAAAAATTTTGAGATAGTTTGGAACATACATATAGTCCCAAACATGTATATGTGTGTGTGTGTGTGTATATATGAAAGAAATATAATAGCAACAGAGTCACACAAAAACAACTTATTTCTAAGACTTATGTATGCAAATAGAGCTGTCAGAAAAAAGCAAAGGCCAGTTCCTTGGAGCAGATGGTTTAATGCTAACAAAGAAAAAAAGCAAGGAAGGGGCATTTACTGAAACACCTACTATGTGTCACAACTGCATATTTTCTCATAGATTTTCCTATTTATGCTGTCACATTCCATGACAATAGATCTGCTAACCAAATACAAAAACAATGTTTTAAACAAACATTGCCTATAGACCCAACAAATTATATTGCATAAAACTCGAAGAACTTAGGGATATCATCATGAAAATATTCTCCATCTTTAACCAGTCCAAGTAATCACAGAGCATGCAAAGGAATTCCCATTACTGAAAACAAATAAATGTACTCTGAATTTTCAAAAAACAAGAAGAGGTGGATTCTACAACCAAAGACCAAAACCTTCTAAATTTTAAAAACAAAATATTAAGTAAATGGATTGTAGGCCCTTAGGAGGGAAAGTAAAAATGTGTAGCATATAGCATTAATTCATTAGGAATAATCACTGATCATTTTTTAATAATAATACAGTATCAGGGCGCCTGGGTGGCTCAGTTGGTTAAGCGACTGCCTTCGGCTCAGGTCATGATCCTGGAGTCCCGGGATCGAGTCCCACATCAGGCTCCCTGCTCAGCAGGGAGTCTGCTTCTCCCTCTGACCCTCCTCCCTCTCATGCTCTCGGTCTCTCATTCTCTCTCTCGCAAATAAATAAAATCTTAAAAAATAATAATAATAATACAGTATCAAACAGTAATACTATTATAGGTCTATTATAACTATAATACTTGGTAAATCTTATTTTCTTCAAAACATCTGAAACACTCTTCCACAATTACCTTCAGGTCAAAATGAGAAAAAAAAATTAAGCTAATAAACTATATAGCTGGATTTGTAGCTGGCTGTACAACCATAAAACTGCTATACTGGGAAATTACTAAAAATGGCTTTTTACGTGAAGAGACAAGACCTTTAGTCACAGAACTCTGTACTAGCCCTTCTTATTTCAAAATGTCATTGATTTCAATGGAACTGAAGAATTTTAAGGTACATATATCCCCCAACTTTAGGTTAACAATCTGGAAAAAAAATTGTAATTTAAAAGATCTTGTCAGTCTAGAACTACATGAAAATCGACAAATAAAATACAATAGTCATTTTTTAAAAATCTCCTGCAAAAAAGATAGACTACATAAGACCTGAATTAGCAGCCATTCCTATTGAAATGACTGAAAATTAAATACAAGGCAATAGTAAGAGTGTTTATGACTCCAGGAGCGCCTGGGTGGTGCAGTCAGTTAAGAGACAGGCTCTTGATTTTGGCTCAGGTTGTAATCTCAGGGTTGTGAGGTTGAGCCCTGAGTCGGTCTCTGCACTTAGTGCAGAGTCTGCTTGCGATTCTCTCCTTTCAGTCTGCCCCTCCTGCTCATGCTCTCTTTCTCTAAAATAAATATATCTTTAAAAAAAAAGGGGGGGGGTTTATGACTCCAAATTAATAATATAAGTTACTTCTGTTGTGCAGGATTGGAAGAAAGGAAGTCATTATCCTTTTACATTATTAACCTGGAATAAGAAATTTCTGGGGTGCCTGGGTAGCTCAGGTGGTTAGGCTCTTGATTTTGGCTTGGGTCCTGACCTCAGGGCCCTGGGATAGAGTCTGGCATCAGGCTCCATGCTCAGCAGGGAATCTGCTCGAGGATACTCTCTCTCCTTCTCCCTCTGCCCCTCCCCCTCCTCGTTTTCTTTCTCTTTCTCTCTCTCTCTCTCAAATAAATAAATAAATATTTAAAAATTTCTGAAAATTTCTTTTGAAAAATTTGGGGACTATCTGATTATTAGTCTTGGATGGTAACTCTTTTATATCTGGTGGCATGTCTCCTATGAATCTGAAAGCAGCATTTCAGTCACAATGAAATCTACAATCAATTAAAAAGAGCCACCAAAAACAAATTCTCTGCTCCAGTATTATTAATATAAAAGATATATAGATGATATTTTAAACAATTACAACAATGTTAAACCTTCACAAATTTTCAAATATTTATCAATGCTGATTTTATGAATGTTGAAAATTATATTATGGTTAAATAAAAAAGGCCACAATAACGTAAAAAGTCTCTTTGCAACTGTGTAGCTATATGTACATTGATAGACTGGAAAAGAATATCAAAGAACAAATATTTAGTGTTAAAGTTACTAAACGTTTAAAAAATAATAACAGCAACCAAATATTGAGCACTTACTATGTAGGAGACACTGGGCTAAGTGGTTAGCTTATTTAATTTACATGGCCACCCTATGAAAAAGGTTATCATCATTGCCATTTTACAGTTAAGTAAACTGAAGATCTGATGGGGAATCTGACCATCTTTTCCTCAGTTAAGGGAGTCAAAGACCTGGCTATGTACCTAGTTTTTTCAAACTGCTAATCTAAATTCCTAATCACTACCAACTCCTGACACTACGGAATTTCACAAATAACTCTTTAAAAATCAAAACTATAATTTTAATCCTGTGCACTTGCCAGTTGCCATAAATTCCTGAGATCAGAATATCTTATAATACCTGCTGTAGTAGACTTTCCAACTCCACCTTTTCCAGAAGCCACAACTATAACTTGCTTTACACCTTCTATTGGTTTCTGCTTTGGAAGTCCTCGGGACATGATTTGTGCTCTTCTTTGTTTTAGGGTCTCACTGTCAGCGCCAGATAACTTAAAAAAAAAAAAAAAAGTTTTAAAATAAGCCATCTCTATTATCATTCTGTTAAAGTAAAAATTCGGAGTTTGTAATAGGGCTTTCTTTTCTATGTTAATTCTGCTGATCTCCATTTGTTAGGTCTTTTGTACTATCTACCTACTGCTATTGATCACAGCCGTGGAAATACACTGATAAAGCTGAAATTTATCTGCCAGGATACGCAGACGTTGAAAATGGAAAGTAAATAAACTGACTCTCTACGGAGTTAAATCCTCCACCTTTCCTTCTTTTTAACCTATTTTTTAAATAAACTAACAGAGAAAACAAGGCACAAGTCACACATCCATGTTCTAGACATCTGCTTCATGTCCCTCCACGCCTCGGCCTGGTCCTTCTGGGGGCCTGCTTGGAAAGTGGGGACGTCCAGCCAACTGGGGCCTCACTTTGCCGCCGAGTGGGGGGCGGGGGGCGTTAAGGTCTGAGGCGAGTCCTCGGCAAGGTTATGCCGGGACACCTGCGGCCCTGCCGCCCCAGCATCTCCGTCCCTTCCGCCTCCCCCTGTCCAGCAGCACCACGAACCTGGCGCCGACAAACCAACACTCGGCTTCCCCCAAGCGGGACACTGGCCCGGCCACCAACCCGAAGCGATACCCCGCCAAAAATCAACAAACGCTGCCAACACCCCATAGCGCGGAACACGGCTTTAAGCCCAGCCCGGAAACCGGCGCGGCCGTCGTAGGGTGATGACGTCACGTAGTAACGCTCGGCTTCCTCTCCCTAGAGACGAGCCGCCTTTGAGTTTCTCCCGCCGGGCAACCCAACTTGTTAATGCAGTCATGTTCGTAGCCAGGTACAAATATTTCACAGAGTTTACCAAATGTTTGTGAAGCGTTTTTCACATACCTCATCCATTTGGTCCTCACAGAAATCCTCGGGTAGGTAGATAGGAGACTCTTACTAGTATCCTCTTTTCAGTGGTAAGAAATGAGACTTAAAGTTTAGAGACTTGACCGGACTGAAAAGAAGTAGGAAATGGTAGAATTTGAAAGTGACGCCAGGTTCTCAACTGCGCAGAATATGGTAACTTAAACATTCCCACTGGGGTGCCTGGGTGGCTCAGTTGGTTAAGCGACTGCCTTCGGCTCAGGTCATGATCTTGGAGTCCCGGGATCGAGTCCCACATCGGGCTCCCTGCTCAGCGGGGAGTCTGCTTCTCCCTCTGACCCTCTTCCCTCTCGTGCTTTCTGTCTCTCATTCTCTCTCTCTCTCAAATAAATAAATAAATAAAATCTTTAAAAAAAAACATTCCCACTGTTAAGGATTTTATCTTCCCCCCCACCCCGCCCGCGTGATCTACAATAATAGTGTGTATATATATATATATATTTATATATATACACACTAATAGTGTGTCTATAAATATATATATATATATATATACACAATCAGAAATAGCTAAATAAGAAAGCAGGTCTAATTAAGCAACTTTCGCTCAAGAAGAAAGTTAAGTGAGACAAAGCTTGAGGGAGAAGGTGGAATTTATTTTGGTATGAGGAATGAAGTATTCCTACATCCAAAGCAGATGAGAGCAAAGAAGTAGCTGTACAAGAGAAAGCTAGAAAGCTGATACAGAAACCCAGACCCAGCAAAAGGATCAGTTAGGGTATAGGTTGACTTACTCTCACATATTCTCCATAATATTTTCTAAGGTTGATTTTAATTTCTTTTATTTATTCTTATCTGTAGAAAATTTGTTGTATAATCATTCAGTTTGTTTTGCTCTACTCTGCTCTTTAATTTTCTTTTCTTTAATACAGGCATAACATTTCAATCTCAAATAATTCTTGTAAGGGTTAGATTTTTCCAACAAGTACATTTAATTAAATAAGCTCTGAAAAAAAAATTCAGTTCCTTGCTTTTTCTCCCCCAATCTCACATTATTGCTTCCTTTGGCTTATCACTTTCTTGTTTTGCAATATGTTTTCTCAGTTAATTTTATCAATTTTTATCTCCTCAATTTTTATAAATTATAAACCAAAACAATAGGGATAAGGAGAATGACTATCAGAATAATCCATTCACTAAACAAGAAATGCTGAATATCTGTTTCTGTCCAGGTAGCTTTTCAAGTTCTTCTAGACTTATAAAGATACATTTATTTAACAAATATTTACTGAGCAACTACTATGCACCAAATACTACCCTAATCATAGGGTTGTCAACCCTGAACCAGACAGATATAATCCCTCCATTCAAGGACTTTACCAACCAGTGTGAGAGACAGAGTAAGTTAACTGACAGTTCAGCATGGTGTAATACGCATAGGAAAAAAAGCACTGAGACATACAGAATTACAAAGAAGGGGCACCCAAATCATTCAGGGAAGGCTTCTGGATAGGGTAACATCTAAATTGAATCCTTAATGTGGGTAATGTGTAGGCATCAGCTGTGTGAACGGCTAGAGGGTTGTTGTGCAGAGGTAAGAAATGAACTGGTAAGAACTTCAAATGATCTTCAAGGCTTGCAAATAGAGTGTAAGCAGGATGGTGCAGAGAGATGAGGATGGAAGTTGGCAAAGATGAAGGGTGCATAGATCATAAAAGACTTTATATATCATTTAAAGGAATTTGGACTTTATCCTAAGGGAACCGCAGAAGGGTTTAAAGTGAGAAAATAACATAATTAGATTTGTGTTTTAGAAATACTACTGATTACCAGTAAAAAAAAATGGTTGGGAGACGTGTGACCAGAGTTAGGGAGATAGGAGGTTATTGTAGTAATTAATCCAAGAGAAATGTTTGCTTATAAAATAGATAATACCTACTTGTAGGGTTATTGCGAGGTTAAATTTAAAATAATGCATGTAGAAAATAAATAATAAAATAATGCATGTAGAATACCTATCACAAAGTACACATATTCAATAAATGTTAGCTATTGTGATGCTTATTGGTTATGTAGAGGTTTATGACATGGGCAACTAGATAAATGGCACTGACATTCTCTGAGAGATAACATAAAGGGAGGAACAAGTAATATCTATGTTTGTAGAAATCAAATCATTAATTTGATTTACCTTTCAGCAGAAGAGAATATCAGGAGAATCGTAGAGATGTCCATTATTTCTTCTCCAACAACCACTGCCACAGACACACACACACACACACACACACACATCCATGGCCCCTTCTCAAAAGAATATTCTCCCTTTGCTCCTAAGAATTTCTAAGCCATTTGACCCCATCCCATGGTCACTAATTGGGTTAAAGATTGACACACAAACAAAGTTGGACCAATTAGATTCTTTCTATATAAAACTTTAAAATAAGAGATGTTACTCAATCTTAGTTTGCATTGGAACTGGTAGGCTTAAGGGACTAATTTCTTCTTTGTGCACAGAGAAGCAGAAAAGCTAATGCCAACAGAGAAGAAAAAAGCAGACCATAAGAGATCATGTGTGCAGAGAGGGAGGGGAGAACAATTGCACTGATTCATAATAGCTTTCCAATTCCTGGTTCTAGTCCACAGTGAGGTTCAAGCTATACTTCTTATTCGTAGATCCATGAGATATACCTACAGCCATCCAATAAATTCTCTTTCTGCCTTGGCCTAATTTGGATGTGTTTCTATGTACTTATAACTATGGTAAGATACGTTTCATAATATTTATCAAGGCTTTTCCCCCTATAATTCCTTGTACCTTATACAGCCCTTCCCCATTTTGATAAACTATATGGCATCATTTTATGATACATAAAAATATTAGAGAAAAGAAATTATTTTCTTGCTTTTCAATTTTGAAAAATGGGACCTTTAAGGAGAATGGGGAAAGCTCTGGCAAAGATAATACATTTGGGAGAACAACATGATATAAAAACATGATTTCTTACTTATATAAGTTAGGATTACATTGGCTGCAAGTAGCAGAAAACTCTATCATTGTCTTAAATAAGTAGGGATATATTAGTCTCATGTGAAAAGTTCATTGGTAGCCTGTTCAGATCTGATACAGTGGCTCCACTGTGTTTTTATGTACCAAATTCATTCTTTGGTTCCATCATCTTGTTGTCCTTATTTTGTCCTCAAGATGGTGACTGCACCTCCAGGCATCAAGGCTATGTTCCACACAGGAAAAGAGGAGAATGACAAAGATAAAAAGGTTTCTCTAGTGAGTGTTTGCCCTTTTGGCAGGGGGTGGGGGGGTGGGGGAGCCACATACACACCAGACTGGCTAGAACCAGGTCACATGACCACCCCTAAAAGCAAGAGAAGTTGAGAAATCAAGCATTTACATATCTTCAACCTATAGATTAGAGGAAAGCAATGGGGAAAAAAATGATTGGAAATCGATATTGAATAAGCCAACTCAGTATCTGTCCTAGAAAGACTATATAAAATTTTGTGGGATTATGGGGAATCAAGACAGTTAGAAGCAAAGTGAGAACTTAGATACTCACAAGTTCTTAAGCCAGATATTGGTAGTTGGATAGCCCAAGAACATTCTCAACCCCCAATTTCCTTGCACCATACAACTATAAATGATAGAAATCCAAATACTTGCTAATCTAGACATAGTCTCACTTGCTAATTCTAGACATAGTTCTTGTAATGTATGGTATAGTTCTGGACAATGTGGTGTAAGGGAAATTTTCTGGGGGGCTTCTGAGAAAGCTTTTGCTACAAAATAGAATATAATTGATGCTACTCCTTTTTCCCATCTTAACCATGGATGTGACTGACACCTGGAGGTGTGGCAGTCATCTAGTGAACATGAGAAGCACAACAGTGACAGATACAATGACAAAAGCCAACAGCTAAGGGTAATGAAGTGGAAATATGTCAGGAAGATGAATTCTTGTTCACATAGTTAAGCTATTACGCCAGTACTGAACTGCATCTCCAGAGCTCTTGTTGTGTGAGATAATTAATTGTTTTAACCACTGTTGATTGGGATTTTTGTTACTTGAAGTTAAAATTATCACTACCTATTACAGATTTGAAGAAAGAACCTGATACACTGTGACTACCTCTCTCCTATTGAAGAGTAAAGAGGGGGACATGAGAGCCCCAAATCAGTGTAAGGGATGTAAGAACAACAGAATCAATGCCCCCATTACCAATGTAGTGGCAGGACCATAGAATAAAAACAGTTGAGTGTTGTGTATGGGCAGACAGTCTGAGAGAGCTCCTGCAAGAGTGGTTGAGAGAAAGTTGATCTTTAAGAGAACTTAGGGTCAAAAATAAGGGAAGACTTGGCAACAATCTGCATGGTTAAGTATGTGGCATCTCTATCAATGCTGGTATAAATAGATAAAGACCTTGAGGATTAAAGGTCACATCACCATGTGGTCATCTGGACACTACATAGGCTCAGTCCTGGTTTCTACCACCCCGAGAGAAATGAATAAATAAGTACTGTTCAAAACAGACAGAATTCTCTTAAATGTCTCCTAACTATGAATAGGGTAATACTTTGTATTATTTTCTAGAAAAGATGTATTTGTATCTGCTAGAGTCCCTCCCTCCACCCCAAAAAAAAGATCCTCAGGTGACCACGGACATGCTGAAAATTCAGATTCCCACACAGAAGCAGTGCCTGCCTCATCCGCTGTCCATAAGCCTCACTTATCAGCTGAGAACATGCTTCATTCCTTTGCTCAACTCACTAAGGAAAAAGAGAGTGTTATGAACAGTTTTCTGTCTCTGTTAAATATACTAACTAAAGC